TGGATTCAGGAGACAGTCTGTAGGAAGGGCTGCAGGGTTTGTTGGTGAATTGGATGAAAGGTGTGAGAGACGGAGGTCAAGAATGTCCCTAAGTTTTTGTCCTTCGGTGCTGCCACTTATTTGGGGAATGATTGGGTTTAAGGGGTAAAATCAGAAGTTTATCTCTGACATGTTTAGTTGCAGGTATCTATTAGCTATTCAACTGAAGATGTCAGGTAGGCTGTTGGCTATACCAGCTTGGAGTTCAGTGGGGAATTATGGAAAACAACATCTCAAGTAATCCCTTATAGACAGAAAAATCTCAGTTCTACCCATTAATATTTATTCATTTGGCAAATATTTATTGAGCACCTACTGTGTGTCAGGCACTGTGCTGGGTGCTAGGGAGTACAACATGGATTTAGTCAGAAACGGTCACTACCTGCATTACAATTTAATTAGTTCACTGGTTTCTGAGACACTTCTCTGAATATTGTATAAATATATAGAAGCAACTCGAGTTATAAATACTGAGATGAATCAGCAATTTAGAAGAGCTTAGATTTTCGGAAAGAAAGGAGCTATATATAGGTTTGGATAAATGACAGATTTACCCAATGAAATATTTGAAGACTGCCTTAAAATGAATCAGAAGAGACTGTCTCGACCAAATGAATGTTTACAAAGAGTCAACTTGGTGTAATGGAAAAGCTTACAGGGCTGGAAGACAGAAGCTCTGGGCCTGTCTGTTCTGCTGGATGAGGTCACATGTATGACCTTGACGGAGCTGTTTGCTCATCTTACTTCAGTTTTCAATGAGATGAATTCATTGGATTTGATGACTTCTAAAGAGCTTTCAAACTATTCATTTTTTACCTTTGTATTAGTTCTTTTACTGGATTCCCATTCCACTTTATAACATTTATTAAAAAATAAAACTCTAAACCTTGAGTGATCCTTCTCTTTTTTGAAGGATCATTTTTCAAAGCAAAGTAAAGCTGTTGTTGTTTTTTTGCAAGTGGAAATTGTGTGTTTTTCTGATTGTAAAAAATGATACATGATCAGAAAAGCGCAGAGTAAAAAATCTCTACAATGATACCACTGAGGTAACTATGTTTTCATTATATGTACCATATAGCAGATGCTTAATATCTGCTGAGTGAATGACTACTGTTAATATCTTGTGAAATCCTTTTTAGTCTTAAGACCAAAAACAAACAAAAGAACCAAAACAAGTCCTATTTCTGGGGGTTGTTTAACCTCTAAACCAGAAGGGGACAGTTATAGTCACCAGAGACTGAAACTGCTGGGCCGATATCAGATCTCTTAGATTATATGTTTCGCAACAGCTGGTGTCTTACATCTATGGAATGTAGAGAGACAATAACACCAAATACACCATTCTGATGGCCACAAACAATATCAAAGCCAGCTCAGTTTAAGCAATATCAGGAAAGGCTGCAAAACAGTCCATTGCCCAACTAGGAGTGGCTCCTACAGCAGATGGAAGGATAGGTTCTGCTCCCCCATATCCTTCTTCCCACACTTGGGCCCTCTTCCTTCCCTATAGCACCAGGATGACTTTGCTTGGGGCACCTGAGTTCAACTAAACAATTTCTATTGAGAGCCTGGCTCCTTTTGATTGTTAACTCCCTTCACAGTAAACCAAGATGGGTTGCTGATTGCCTTTGGAAATGAATTAAAGCCAGATCCTGCCTGCAGACATATGCTGCATCTTTATTTCCTAAATGTAATTAGTGGCTAATGTTGAAAAACTGGGACATTCGACATGTGAATCTGAATTTTCAGATCTTTTGAAAAATCACTGGATTTGGTACCACTGGGCCCTTATTCATTGGTGCAATCAGTTAGCTGGGGAGCAGCCTCCCACTTGAGACCATTGTGTGTCCTTCAGGACCCCGTAATTTCACCTACCCCTATTGTATTACATCTTGCCTCCCCTGCTCAGTTATTCAACTTGCTACCTCTAACTAATTATGTAAAAGCATCAGGGGGCACCTACTAAGCACCCTGGAGGAGCTCACAAACCAACTTATAAACCAGTTAATAAGTGCAGTGAAGTCAGTGCAGCACGGAACGCATGAACATGGCATAGCATGGGTACTCTGACCTGAGTAGCTGGTTAGAAGGTCCCTGAAGGTCATTTTGAGCTCGGTTTTGAAGGATGAATATGATTATTCAGGCAAGGGCATTGGTGAGGAATACTGCAAACAGTGAGGGCGGTATTAAGAGCATATACAGCCCGGCCTGCATGGCTCAGTGGTTGAGTGTAGACCTATGAACCTGGAGGTCATGGTTTGATTCCGCGTCAGGGCACATGCCCAGTACTGGGTCAATCCCCAGAAGGAGGACTGCAAGAGTCAGCCGATTAATGACTCTCATCATTAATGTTTCTCTCTCTCCCTCTCCCATCCTCTCTCTAGAATCAATTAAAAAAAAAAACATTTAAAAAAAAAAAAAGCACATACAAGTTCTTCTGCTGATTAGCTGCCTGTTATATAGGTGACCCTCTCAAGCCAACAACTACCTTTCCCTTGAGTGATGCTGGTCTACAACCCTCTAACCAGATCCTCTCATTCCTTCCTTCTGTCAAAACACGAAAGGTTCACCCCTAACAGGAAGAGCCTGCCTGACTAATCCCCACTCACCTCCTTCACCTAAGGCAACACTCCTATTCCGGGATAACTGGTTACCTGAGGGTGATTCTGTTATTTGAGCTCTTTGTTTTGTTTTGTTTTGTTTTGATTTGGAGCCTCTGACATTTGAAGAGTAGACAAGCATTCCAAGCAATGAATCAATCTGTATTCATCTACATGGTGTAGAGAAATAGGTATCATTTTTTACCCCAACAACAACCCACCTGAGAAAGAAGACAAACACAAGTAAACTAAAAACAGAGAATGCAATTCAGAAAACATTTATTAAGTGTTTGGTATTCACAATTTTTTAAACCCCTTCATCCATCCGCCCTGGCCAGTGAGGCTCAGTTGGTTGGAGCATTATCTCGTGCACCCAGAGGTAGTGGGTCCAGTTCATGGTCAGGACATATACCTAGGTTGCAGATTCGATCCCTGGTCAGGGTGCATATGGGAGGCAACCAATTTAGGTGTCTCTCTCACATCGATGTTTCTCTCTCTCTCCCTTCTTCCCGCTCTAAAATAATAATAATAATAATAATAATAATAATAATAATAATAATAAATCAATCCCTCCGTCCATCCAACATTCACTGAGTACTACCAGGAACTGTGGTTGGCACTTGGAAATCAAGGCACACTAAAATATACAAGCTGGCAGGTGACAGGAACAAATAAACTCATTACAGTAAGTCTCCTGGCAGAGCAATGTTCAAAACACAACAACCACCTGGAGAAAGAAGTGTCGGCCGCTCCCTGGGATACTGGGAAGGTATCATGGAGAAAAAAAGCTTGAGCTGCTTATCTTGTTTTTTACTTCTTATGATATTTTACAACACACACAAGCATACAGAGACTAGTACAACAAATCTCCATGTACCCATAACCCGGCTTTAGCAATCAGTCACTCATAGCCACTTTCGATTCACCTGTACCCCCACCTGCTTCCCCCCATCCCTTCCTTTTGGTAAACATTGTTATCAATTCACTCATACTGAGCTGTGTTTGAAGAAGAGACTGGACATGTCCGGACCTTCCACTGCTAACAGCCTTCTTCCCATCTATTCTTCTGCCAGTGACTCTACCAGAGTTACATACTTGGATTCCTGCCCGTGACTCCAAAGCGTTGGCTGGTTGGGCGTAGAGACCCAAGACTTTATTGGAGCCTTTGGCTGAAGGAAAAGACTGGGCCGATCCAGTGAAAACCGCATCCTGCCTTATCTGGAATGCTGATCACATTCTTCTGGTCCTTGGTCCTCATAAAATTGCTATTTAGAAGTTTCCTGTGCACCTGTTTGTACAAAATGGTGGCTACATTCCACATTCCCATGTGCCCTTAGCAACCTCCCCGCACACCTCAGCCTGCACAGGGCTTGCCCTCCAGGCCAGGCCAACCCAGAGCTGCTTCCGGTCCCGGCTGAACGTCGGGCCTCTCCAGCTGCTACCCCGTCGGCATTTCCTCTCTCTCTCCGAAAGCTCCCAATGTCCACGAGTTACCCACAGCAGAACACGATCCTGGACTCCCCTTCCCTCAGAATTCTGTCTTCTTTCAAAGCCATCCACTGTCGTCCACCTCCATCATCACCGTTCCAACCAGGCCACCATTCTCTTCCCTCAAGTACTGAAATATTTAAGCATCATTCTGCCTTTAGCACCCCGCCCCCCACCTCCATGCTCCACGCAGCAGCTGAATGATCTTTATTTAAAAAAACAACACACACATAACGCACACACACAAAACCCTCTCAAAGCCCTTTCATGGTTCCTGACACCTACGAGAACCAAGGCCAACCTCCTTACCACAGCCAAGGAGGCCCTGCAAAATTTAAGACTTCGCAAGCTTGACCTGCTACCTTTCCTCCCTAGGCCGCAACCAAAACGCTCTTCTCAGAGCCTGTTTCCTCGCGTCTCCGCTCTTACCTGGGAAGCGGGTTTTCTCCCAAATATCATGAAAGCCACACCCACTCCGCCCGGGCTCACGGGCGGTTATCTCACTTGAGTCCACAACCCTAAGAAGTCATCATCTTCAGTTTGCAGATGGAGAAACTGAGCGTGGGCACCGTACCCATGGTAGCTGCGTGCTAGAAAGTGGAAGGGTCGGGACTCGGGGGCTCCAGAGGCCACCGGCCTAAGCAGAAAGCCCTCGCCCGCGCCGACGCCCCTCCGGAGCAACGGAACCCGCTCTCCGCCGCGGGTTGCCTCGGGCTGCGCGGGGGCGGGGCCCGCGACTGCGGAATGAAGCTTCTGATTGGCCGCCTCCGTTAACGGCAAGCGAGAGGGCGGGAGCGAGGGCGTGGGGGCGTCGCGGAGAAATGACGTAATGCCTCGGCTCCTTAAAGGTACCTGGCCTTCGCTCCGCGGATGGCGCAGGCGCGTTCCGGGGGCTCCCGCTGGTTCACGGATCACTGAGAGCCGGGCCGAGCAGGCGCGCGCGTGTAGACGGGGCGCGCCCCGGACGCGAACGACTGCTCCTGAGGTCTGGCGAGGCGGCGTCGGGAGCGGGGACCGTCCAGCTGACTAGGGGGCGCCGCGATGGCTGAAGGTAGCGCGGTGTGCGACCCTCAGCACGCCGCGCGCCTGCTGCGAGCGCTCAGCTCTTTCCGCGAGGAGTCCCGCTTCTGCGACGCGCACCTGGTCCTCGACGGGGAGGAGATCCCGGTGCAGAAGAACATCCTGGCGGCGGCGAGCCCGTACATCAGGTGAGGAGGGGGCCGGGCGGGGCGGCGCTGCCCCGAGCCCGGGGCCAGGGCGGGCCGGGTCGGGCGTGGCACCGGAGTCCCTGTCCCCACCTCTCGGTCGCTCGGGTCCCTCCCGTCAGATATCCCTGCTGGGCCCCCGGGACAGCGCCAGTGTCTTC